GAGCGGCAGACCTTGGACGTGGCTTCGAAGATTCCGAGGCTGCCTGAGCGCGGAAGCTTCTTCGGACCTGCGGGACGGCCTGCTGCGTCAACGCTCTGATGTTGGCCTGGCCTTCGATCAGATGTCGGGCAGGCGCGGAACGAGCTGGGAGTCTATTTTTGGGGAATGATCTTAAAAACAAACAAATAAACGCTGGACATTTGGGGAAGAGCTTCTCTTGAGGGAAAGTACGGTTTTCAACTGGGATGAACGGAAAAGCTACCATTTCGGGAGCCTTTGTTTTGCTTTTTGGGGGATGACAGTTGCCAGCCAAGCGAAACCTATATTGGGCTGTGACCCATGGGTTTTGCTTACAGGGACGCCACAGGGACTGCCCAATCGAGGGTTGCGGGTCAAGGCATTTAGGTCAAAAGGCCAAATGGTGCCAACACCCTTGTGGTGTTGGGAGCTGATTTGGGTTGTTTCCCTTCATCCATTTTGCGGATAGTTTTCAGGATGTATCGGAGACTCACGGGGACGGCCCCTTGTTTGACTTCGGTGTTTCGTTTGTTGCCATAGAGGTTATTTTGATGGTGCTAACTAGGGAATGATGAAATGAACCTGGGGATTACCGGTTTTGCTTGGATTCCCGAAAAAAGGACACCATAGAGGACTTCTGTCCGGACCAGATTCGATGCGTTCCAACAAAAATAAAGACAACAACAAAAAGCCGTTCCAACAAAAAGAAGAAACAAGAAAAACCAACTCACAAGGCCCTTTCCGCCAGGAACCAGTCCAAGTCCACGCTGACCTCCAGAGTGCACGGCTCGCTCCGCCGCCCCAAGGAAGAGGCGGGGGGTTGGGGGAGTCGCAAGATTTCCACGCCGCAGAGGCGGGAGGGAATCCATTTGGGTGTGGTTGTCAAAACCGCTTTGAGATCCCATTTTGGGGTAGGTGAATTCGCCACCTATTTTAGGACCTGTTTTAGTGGGAATTCGGATGTTCACTAAAGGTGCGGGATTTTGACCCATGGCCATGTGGGTGTGTTCTCAGCATGGGGCATCCCCGTTGCGGATGTGTGTGTGTGTGTGTGTGTTTCTTTTTTTGTGAATCCGAAAGGAAACCACCTCGAGCGGCCTCACACGAGGCATATGTTCCCGTTGCCGATGGACCCCACCAAAATCTCTCAAAGGGCAATGGTCCAAGTCAGGGCCAATCAGTCAGGTTCCAGGCTAGTATGACGGGGGTACCTACTCCCGAACAGAAGGCCAGGGACGTGGGTGGTCTTGGTTTCAGCACTGCCGGCTGGGACTTTCTGATTCTGCCAAAAAAGACTTCCTGGGCACTTTCAATGGGGCCCGGACGCTTGGATTGGCTGGACATAGGAAAAAACGCCACTCCCCGCCAGTTCGTTCTTCCACACTGCACCCGGGGGCGGGGGAGGGTTAGAATGGGTCAAGCTCCATGTGGGAAATTGTGCCTGGTTCCTTTTGTTCGGCGGGTTGCAAACAAACGGGTTGGTCTTAAAATTGGGGAACCCCCCAAACTAAATTTTGGTTCTCCTCTTTGAAATCCTCTTAAGGCCAACTAAAAAAGGTCACCCGAATAAAATAGGCCACCCCAAAGGAAATCCTTTTCCCCATGACCACTGGAGGTCCGGGAAATTGCTCAGCCAGTTTCCTTTGGGAGGTATTGTATGGAACCCAATCCTAGGCTGTTTCTGCACTGACAATCCCCGTGGTGCGTTGAATAAGGGGCGGGGGGGGGGGGGGCAAAATGGGCCGTTTTCCTTTTTGGTCTCCCTTTTAAACCCAGATCCCTGGACCTAGCCGGACCGCCCATGCGATTCCTGAAATTGAGTTACAAGCGGAGCTGCTTCATTTCAGGTGATGTGTTTGCCTCGAAACATGGAAACTCAGGGGATTGGCTTTTAGAGCTCTGGATCTTTCTGTCTTTCCCCTAGGCTTCCAAAGGCCATTAAAAGAATGGTCGAGGTCGCTAGACTGTTTTTTGCCGAAAGACCGTTTTTTGCGCCTGGCCCTGAGTATCCAAGAAATCATGGTGTTTGTTGCCCAAGAATTGCGTGGGGTCAGGTCAAGCCCCCTTGGTGCCATCGGCAAAAGTCACCTTGCTTTTGGCTCCGCGGACAGGTGACTTTCAGCTTCAAGCGCAAAGCGCGCCTTGGGCGCATCTCTGGGCGCGCGGCCGGTTTTGTCGGTGTGGCCCAACGAAAAGAATTGGTTTCCAGCTAAGGGCCTTGGTTGCTGAGGCTTCGAATCAGCTTATGCTGGAACCCAACAAAGCGTTTGAGTCTTCTTTGGGGAAATGGACTGCGTTTCAAGGTTCGGATTTAGGCTGACCGCGAGTCTCCTTGGACATTGCTTGATAAATTGTAAGGTGGACCAAATATGAAACAGAAGCGGAAGATATGATTTTTGGTGTATGGAACTTGGAACCCCACAAACCTTCCGTTTTCAAAGGAGCCTTCTTTTCCAATGGATCTATGTTTTGGGCTCAACAGAATGGCTTGGGGCACTTTGTAAAGGGTTCCCGACCCCCTTGGAAGACACGCCCAAGCCGGCCGTACTTGGGGCGAACGAGCTTCCGTGCGGTGCCATGCAAAGGGAAGCCCAAGGAGCACCTTCCCAACAGCCTGGCACCATGGGCGGATTGACTCAGAGCGGTCGTGGATGAACAAATATGACTCATCGAAACGCACAAGGCGCCCGAAAGCGTTGAACTAAACCATAGACGGTTGGACCGGAATGAAGGTCCCCGGCTTTCGCACTGGAGCAAGTCCCAGTTGTTCCGAGGATTCCACCGTTTTTCCTTGTTTGTGCGTGCCCGCGTGAACATGGTCAGCCCCAAAACCAGCCTCTGTTGTTCGGTGGTTTGATGCTTAGGTAGACCAATCCAATCCACCCAACGGAAGGTCATCTGAAGAAAAATTATTTTCCGCGCGAACTGCTCGCCAGGATTGTCCCCAAAGCAAATGAGCAAGGGATGCCAATTTTACGCACTTATTACCGAGCAACTGAGCAAAATTGAGGTGTCAATCACCAGCCGGAAAAAGACGAGTTCCAGAAGGAAAGTGAACACAAGGGCAACTCTTTTTTGCAGAACAAAAAGCAACACAAAGCCACATTGTTTGGGACAAAGACCCGGAAAGCGCTAGCCGCTAGCGCAAAACAACAAGGTTCCCTCAAGCCGTTCAGGTCACTTGTTGGTTGCAACGGATCAGGCGGCACAGGCCCTGTCATAGGTCTTGGGAACAGCCCTGGAGCATTGGCCAGCCTGAAAAAAAATGGCTGTGGCTCAAAAGGCCGATACCAAAATGGAACCCTGGCAAGTGGAAATATGGACCAAATCCTGCGTAACCCCTCCTGTTTAATTTTGAGAACCGCACGCATTTGAACGGATAAGGTGCGCAGGCTTCACCAACGGGGCTTCTCTGCAGAAGTTGGCGCAGCCCGAATGATGCAGCCGAACCGACGCTTGGATCGCAGTCTCGACCGGTTGCAGGCTGACAAAATTGGAGGGTGAAAGAAAAGGAGCCCAACGAGATGCTGCTCAATTGCTCACGGCCCTCGTTTTGTAGATTGGGATTACGCGAAGCACCCGTCAACAGCCAATTGGAACTGTTTTTCCTTTGATTCAGTGGGGTGATATTTTAGAGAGAAATATAGTGAGCCCTGTGGTTGCTAGGGTCCGGCACTGTTCATTGCTCCACTGGGGCGCGCGCGCAGTGGACTTTGGCGCGTCAAGGTCTTCGCAGCCTAGTGACTTAGAGTCTTATGATCCGCGGACATGGGCATGACCCATGTGTCGAAGTCGGGATATGGCAGCGAATTGTTATTTTCTCAGGACATTAAACATGTTTATTTGTACATTATACATATATATATATATATATATGCATCATGCTGGTTCTTGCTATGTAGATGTATTGGTGACATGCGTGGCTTCTTCTGTTTGTACCATCCACTTCCCGCGGCTGACGTTAGCTCCCGTTCCTCTTGGCCCTTTTCTCGGGCGCCCGAAGGGCCCCGGCGCCAAAGGCGCAAGCTCCCCAAGAACCTTTGCGCGGGAAAAATGCGATGCGCTGGAGCTATGTGATGCCAAATAGGGGGACCCCAACCCCGCCCAAACAAAAAAACATGCGGTTCCCCCTCCCCCCCTCTCAAAAAAGTACATAAACCCCCAATGCGCTGGAGCTGTGTGGCCAAATAGTCTCTTTTGCAACCAAGAAGCCAAAACACCAATATTTCAAATTAGGGAGGTTGCAAAATAGACCCGAAGTGTCCACCTTACGGGACCTCCCCCCTCCCCCGGAAAAAAAAGAAGAGGCGGTTTCTCGTTTGTCTTTCCGTTTAAACCAACGCCGAAAAGGGGCGCGAAAAAACATAGACCCCCCAAACTGGGTGGTTTGCTTTTGGTTTCTCTTTCTACCAGCCCCAATCAGGGTACCCACCAACAAAAACCCGCCCACGTTTGCCTTCTTCGGTGTTCGGCCAAGGAAGTGCACTTGGCCGAACACCCGGAAGAAGTAAGGGGGCATCGACACGATGACTTCGCAGAAATCAATTGATGGCTGAGGCGATTCCTGGCGCGCGCTCTGTTTTGGGATTGTCCTGGTACCTCGAATTTGTGGGTTTGGGAACTTTGTGCTGGGCAAGATCCTTTAACAGGCAAAACACATACACCTCGAAGCATACAGTTGGTTCCCTGAACCAACAACATTGAACCACAAAGCCTCATTGCAGTAAATTGCAGGGAGCCAACTTCAAGTGAATTTCTCTTTGGTGAGATGATGCCTACAGAGGATGGGATGTACGGGAACCCTGTTATAGCAGGAAGGTGACCCTGGTATCCCTGGTGTATTGGTCAATTGACTCTTAATGAACGCGTACTGTCAGCCTTGATCAGGGGGCATCGTTTCTCCTATCATCATCACAATATAAATTAAACCCCATTGTTTTTTGGCCAGTATGTTACCGTAATCGAAGGGCCGATCGTAGCAGGATCTTCCGATGTGCACGCCGGAGAACATCAAGGAGTTCATCTCACAGCGGGACGCCCAGAGATAGCGCGGGTGGGGGGGGGGGGTGTGCGTGCGTCTTGTTCGGAGCTCTCTTTCAAGCGCCCATTACTTGCTGGTCCGACAAGCAGGGAGTGAGAAATGGAATGCCCCCGAGAAACACTATCCCCCATGATTTCCTTCAAGGGAATCCCCAGGTATTGCCAAACCCGGGGTCATTCCCTACTGGGCACCGGAAACGTTGGCCTCCAAGAAGCGCGTTTCAGCTTGCAATTTTGTTGCATCCGTTGCGTCACCCAACTCTTGCACGTAGGGTGACAGACTTGGAAGCCTTTGCAACTTCTGGGGCATGGGTTGATTCTTCCGCACACTTGTTGGGGATCGAAGTCGGGATTCCCCCGAGTTGAATTTCATGTTGATTTGCATGAGAGTAATCGCAGACAACTACCGTGGGGTTGCCATGTTTGTTGATGGACCTCTCTTGGGGTTGTTTCGAAGGGTCGCCGCTGAGAGCCGAAGTCTTCCAGACACGGGCCGTGGCTCGAAGACTTCGTTTTACCAAAGTTCCTTTTCTCAACCATGGAGATGGGCACGAACCTTTGGCTTTGCAAGAGAAAAAAGACAGTCGTCTTCCAACCGAAAAAGCCGACGAAGGGGTGGTCCGCTCGTTTTTTGTTTTTTTTCCAGCTTTGGGCCCAACAGGCACTTGCAGCCGGTGCTTTCTCTGAGTGCAAACGGGCAAACGGGCTCTCCTTCTATTCGGGTGTGGTTTTTTCCGTTTCAGCGTGGTTTAGAGGGGAAACCGAAAGAACAGCCAACCATGTTTGGGGTCCGAATCCTTGCTTGACATACTCATTTGCTGCAGGCGATGTGTGCGTGTGTGTGAGTCTGTGTGTGTCTCTGTGTCTCTGTGTCTCTGTGTCTCTGTGTGTCTCTGTGTGTCTCTGTGTGTCTCTGTGTGTCTCTGTGTCTCTGTGTCTCTGTGTGTCTCTGTGTGTCTCTGTGTCTCTCTGTGTCTCTCTGTGTCTCTCTGTGTCTCTCTGTGTCTCTCTGTGTCTCTCTGTGTCTCTCTGTGTCTCTCTGTGTCTCTGTGTCTCTGTGTTTCTGTGTCTCTGTGTCTCTGTGCCTTTGTGTGTGTCTGTGTCTCTGTGTCTCTGTGTCTCTGTGTCTCTGTGTGTCTCTGTGTCTTTGTGTCTCTGTGTCTCTGTGTCTCTGTGTCTCTGTGTCTCTGTGTGTCTCTGTGTGTCTCTGTGTGTCTCTGTGTGTCTCTGTGTGTCTCTGTGTTTCTGTGTTTCTGTGTTTCTGTGTCTGTGTGTCTCTGTGTCTCTGTGTCTCTGTGTCTCTGTGTGTGTCTCTGTGTCTCTGTGTTTCTGTGTCTCTGTGTCTCTGTGTCTCTGTGTCTCTGTGTGTGTCTGTGTCTCTGTGTCTCTGTGTCTCTGTGTCTCTGTGTCTCTGTGTCTCTGTGTCTCTGTGTCTCTGTGTTTCTGTGTCTGTGTGTCTCTGTGTCTCTGTGTCTCTGTGTGTGTCTGTGTCTCTGTGT